TGTCCTATTCTAGACTAATCCTTGGGTCTGTGATCCGGCCCCTCTTCACACAGTCCGGTTAATCGCAGGATGTGCCTCCAACTGGCCAGGGTCCGAGCGCTCCCCACCTGGTCTGACAAAGTGCTAAGCAAGCCAATCCAAGTTGCACCTTGCCTTCCAAGAATAATCCTTGCCTTCCAAGTTCCCACTTGCCTTCCAAGAATAAATCCTTGCCTTCCAAATGTTCCCTTGCCTTCCAAGAATAAATCCTTGCCTTCCAAGAGCCCCATGTTTCGAACTCACGACCTCTGCTCTGCCAGGTTTGACAGCGTCCGTCCTTTGCCAGTGGAGAAGTGCCCTGGGGGGCAATGTAACCTTATTCTTGCTAGGAGGCACTGTAGTTGTTCTACAACATTTGATGTAATGTTCATGGACGTTAATTAAAAATGATTGTTTCTAACTTTGCAGGTAGTAACTTCGTAAATTAGCCAATTTTGATGTCCTAATCAAACACCTCACAAAAAAGTAGAAACGGGCAAATCAATTTTTCAAATCAAATAAACTAAAATAGTCTAAACCAGAATTGACCCGCCATTATTTTAAAATAAACCTTCAGGGTATTGGAGCTAATTGTTTAGTTTTAAAAAGCTGTCTAAGATCAGGTGCGGAGGGAAGGAGACCCAGGCCTGCCTCAAGCACATTAGTTTTTTTAGGTTAAAAATAATTTAATTTTAAGTGCATTTGTTTGGTTGCTTGCAGGATCTTACCCTGAAAGAAGCAGAAACCATTGCGCTTTCCATCTTGAAGCAAGTGATGGAAGAAAAGGTATGCAGCTTTTGGAAAAGGGTGATTTTAGGTTTCATGCTTTTGATACGTTGGACGATATGTAAAGATTTATTCTGAAGAAGTCTTACCAAGACACCATCTTTAACATCATTTCTATATACTTATGTCCATTTGTTTTCTGATTTCAGGTTACACCCAACAATGTTGATATTGCAAAGGTAGCACCAACTTACCATCTGTACTCGCCTTCTGAGGTTGAACAGGTTATCAGCCGCCTATAAGAAAAGGCCATCAATTTGCTTTGCTGATTTTCATTGCAAAATCACTTTCCCAATATTCGTATGCTTGAATTCAATATGAACTATTAAGAGGATTTGTTTTGGCTTTGATGAGCAAACTACTGTGGACTTGTGAGCATATTTTCTGTTAAATGAATCAATGTTTCTTTCAACTAACTTAAATTATTCGCCTGTCTTGTATAATCTTGGAAATTACCTTTTTTTTTTTCCTTTCAAGTGTGCTACACAAACAAGCTAAAAAACAGATTCAAAAATAGGGTGCACACATGTCAATGCATGATTGGACTATTTGAAAAATAAAAACCACAAACGTACGATTGTTTGTTGTCAAGTCAGTCTGTTTCCTTTTTCTCTGTCTTTGAGCCTGGACAAATATCATTTTCCATTTTTCTTGGGCTAATTCTTGTTTTTGGCTAGAATAATGCTATTTAATACCAATCTAGGTGGTCATACTTGATAAGTTCAATTAAATGAATCATGTATTATTGCATTTAAATGAATTTGTCATTTAATGACACGTGGTTGTTACCAGTGGTATTGAATGACATTATTCTTTCGGTAATTATGCAAATTGGTGGACAGCATCTCTACGGGCACTGGGTAATTGCTGTGTGCTCGTATCTATGAGCATCATTTGCCATCAAATAATGAAGAGGCTCGATTTCAATAAAAGCCTGAGAGCAAGTTGTGTGTAACTACAATCATATATTCCGTTTATATAGACATATATGATTCGAAGGTTAGTTGATAATGAAAAGAAAGAAAGCAATAAAAGATAGTAGAGGATGATTCAACTGTGGCGGCGTCATTGGCGGTAACTTATGAATTCCTACTCTTTTTGTATGAGATAGGTATTATAATAGCTATTTGCATGAAATTATGCATGTTAGGATTACAATGCATAAATCTGGTTAAGAACATGCTATAATTTGTACTACGGCCGTTAAATTCAGGTTTTTTACTGAGGCTGCATCGTATGATTCTATTGTTCTAAAATGTGATGTGTTAATCTTTAAAAGACATATATTCATTTTAAACGCAAGGGTATTGTTTCTAGTAATTTCGTGTCCATTTCGCTTCATTCTTACTCGTTGGTATGATACTATTGTTCTAATATGTGATGTGTTGATCTTTAAATGACATAGATTCATTTTAAACGCATGGGTATCGTTTCTAGTAATTTCGTGTCCATTTCGCTTTATTCTCACTCGTATACACTTGAAAGTATTAAGGATAAAAGTTTTAACTACATTTGGATGTCACGGTATAAATAAAGTTCAAACTATAGTAAGTCACGCCATACATCTGTTTGGAAACTATACTACACTTAACATAAAAAAAAAAATTAAGAAAGGGCGTAGATAACAAGTGTAGTATGCAAAACATAACACTTTTAGTTGTATACAACTCATCTATGAAGTTTCAAACATTGTTTTACTAATTTTGAAGTAAAATCGAGATCCCGTAACCCAAAATGGTAACATAGCACGTGTAGACATTCATTGAGTACAACTTATCTACGATCTTCTAAACATTGTTTCACTAGTTTTGGATGGAATCAAAACCCCATGTCCAGAGTGTCATGTTATAGTTTTAAAAGTATGGGTGGCGTTTGTACAAATTTTGGATCCATTTTGCTTCATTCTTGTTCCTATCCACCTGAAAGTGAAATGACAAAAGTTTTAGCTACATCTGAACATCATGATTCACACAAAGTTCAAACTATAGTTAGTCACACCATAAATTCGATTGAAAACTATACTACACTTGACCAACAAAGAAAAACATAAGTAACAAGTATGCTATACAAAACATAACATGTATAGTCATTTAATATGTGCAACTCATCTATAATGTTCCAAACATTGTTTTACAAGTTTCATAATGAAATTGAGACCTTGTGAGCCAAAATGGAATGTGGTCATTTTAAATATATAGGTGATGTTTCTACTTTTTTCCGTGTCATTTTCGCTTCATTCTCACTTCTTCAACGTGTACAAGATATCTATGACATTCCAAATTAGTTTCAGAGTGAAATTGAGATCTCATGACCCAAAATGGCACGTAATCATTTTAAATGCATGGGAGCCACCTTTTCAAGTTGGGTGGATCGACAGAATCTGTCGATACAATTTGTTTAAAAATTGGCACTGCTGTTTCAACAAAATTGTTTCAATATTTGAAAAAAGCATTCATACAATAAAAAATAAAGCAACACAAACCAGCATCCATACACCTATTCTCTAACCATAAAAACCACCACTAGCTAGACAAAATCAGCATCAGCATCAGCATCAGCATCATATATCCTCCAACCACATAATTTAAAAACTATATAAAGAAAAACATTATGGATTGAAATGCATATAAAAAATTTGAACAATTGTCTTCTTCCTTCTACATTCAATCATATCATCATATATAGTTTCACGTCGTCTTTGATTAGTCCCAATGTAAGGCTCCAAGGAAGGCTTCTCACTAGATATCAACCCCATTATCAATAAGAACTCATACAATGAAAATCGTGCTCGCTTACCATCAATTGAAAACTATATCTCATTTCTTTTTTGGTCACAAGCATCCTCATTTCAAGTTAGTGGACTAGCTGGGTTGAAAATCGTATACAATTTATTCAATAGAATTTCTTGAAATAATATATCTTCAACATTTGTCGATGAATATTGTCTAACATCTTCGAAACATAATCAAGCTTCTGAAGGGAACACTTTTGTGAAGGTTTGACTTCAGTTCTATCTTTAACGGAAATCACATACTCCAAAAAAGTGTTCAATTTCTGCAATACAGTCCATATTCAAAACTGGATAAACAGCAATGTGACATTTTCAAAACTAGATAAACGGCAATGTGACATTTTCAAAACTAGATAAACGGCAAGGTGCCATTAGAGTGAATAAGAAGTTAATATATTTAAGACTTCAAGAAGAAATATACCAAAATAGAGAATCAGACATGCAGTGGATGTGACAAATTTGATTGACAGCATCCAACCAATGATATTGTTATTTGTGGCCTCTAACATTCAAGTATATGCACGAGCATACAAATGACAGAATAAAGAAGATTGTTAAGATTGTGCACTCAATGCATATTTGTACGTGTGTTCCAACTACTCAGGTACGAGCCAAAACCAGAATTTTGGCAATCTGATTGCCAAGTAAACAGATCAACAATTTTTTGAAATTTCAATTTTACATCTAATTATGAATATCTCAAATTATTTAGCACAACCTATGCATTAATTCTTTTAACTATGCCAACATCAATGAAACAAAATCTATACCACATATATGAACATCTTATGCAATAAAAAGTCATTATTTTTTTTTAAAAAAAATTTGGAAATTTCAATGGCAAATATAAAGGATGCATTTGATTTGTTATTTTCAAGTTTTCAGTTTTTAATTTTACAAAACACTAAAAATGTGTTTGATTTGGTATTTTTGAAAACAATGATAGATTTATAACATACAACTCAAAATGCATTTTTAACGTTTTGAGTGTTTTTAGTGAAAATTCTAAAAACACTCAAAACATAGAAAACAAGTGTTTAAATAAAATTTAAAAATTAAAAATTAAAAATTTTAAAAATAAAAATATAAAATTTTAACAAATAAAATTATAAAATAAAAATAAAAATCAAGAAAATAAAATTGATAAATTCTAAAAAGAAAAAAATTTGTAAAATAAATTCTAAAAAAATAATATTCTAAAAAATAAAAATAGAAGTTCTAAAGGAATAAAATTCTAAAAAATTTAAAAATAAATAAATAAATGAACGCAAATAAAAATATTTTTAGTACATGTCAATAATTTTTATTTTCATTTCGTATATATTTTAACTCAATTTATTATTTGGTTTTATTTTAATTTTGTAGCGAGGAAAAATATTATAAGGTTCACAAACTAAAATATATATACATTAGTTGATAATATATTAAATAAAATTATTTATTTTTATTGAATAATCAAATTTATTAAAATAAAATGTCATAAAATAATTTTTTGACATTTCAAACCAAACCCGTTTTCTAATTTTATGTTTTGAGAAATAAATTTTTAAGATGACAAATTAAACTCGTTTTTAGAAATCTTAAAACGGGCTTTCAAAACAGAAAATTAAAAATGGACTCTAAATTCTTCATTGAATTTCATGTACAAAATTTAAAGGAACATTGGCACTTGAGCATAGTATGGTGACTGGAGTTGTTGTTTCCATTATGATTATATAATTTCAAGATCAAGTATTCCACAACCATTGACAACAAAAATCAAAATATGAATCAATGAATTCTACAACCTACTTTTGAGTTCACTACCGCTTTCCTATTTCTATTATTCATACATTTTCACTTGAAAAAGACTGGGCCACAATAAAGGAATGTATCTAATTGTCCTAATAAGTCCAAAATCAAAGCAACGACAATCTTAATTTGGAGCCTTTCTAATAAAATAATTTTAAGTTACATGTAACAAAGTCATGACTTATACTTGTGTTCATGGATCGAAAAACTTGAAATCCTAATCTTCCTAAACCTTTATATCAATAAACTATAGAGAAACCCTAAAAGAAATTAACCAAATCACCCTGAACATGTCGAAAAGCCCATATTTTCTACAAAAATTCACAAAAACTCTTAGTGACAAAGGAAATTTGATGAAATATTTGACCCAAGGATAGACCACTGAGAAATTAGTTCTTTGAACGGGATGTTCGCAATGGTGGTTGTTTGCGGTGGTGTCTATTCCCATCCTGTGGTAGCGTTCGAAATGGGAGAATAATTACACACTAACCTAAATTAGAGGAACAAGATATGAAATAATAGAAAGAAATGACGAAGGAATTTGGGGCGGTGACGTTTGAAAAGGGAAGAAACAGTTGTAGCATTCGAGAGAGAAGAAAAGGGTTTTGGGTTGGAAGTGTTGAAAAAATAATTAGTTGCAGTAGTGTTCAGAACAATATAATGCAGAAATATAAAACTTAACTTCCGATCGAGTCTCGAGACAGCACGATGTCCTAAAGTAAAATTGCCCGTCGATAATTGTTGCGACCTCCGTGGACAAACACTCCCAGGATACAACGATCGTAAACCACTTGTGCAGCAAACATGAATGATTTTTCCAGAACTCTCAATTGTACTCTAGAA